CATCCTATCAACTTCATGCCTGGGACTCAAACTTCACGTGTGTGTCTGATTACAAAGCAAGTAATGGCTTATGGTGCCTTTCAGCCCTGATCTGGATTACCTATTGTATTACAATATTAATCTTGTTGCCAAAAATAGCCTTCTGAGGCAAACATACTGATGGACTGGTCTCCTGTACAGCCAACATCTCCTAACACGAGATCAATAACATTATTTTCTGTATCTCCAGAAGTGAAAAAGACAAAAATTACCCTCACTTATGCTAAGCTGTTAAGAAAATACAAAAAATGGTGAAGAATTACCATCATCACTTAAACCTAAATTCTACAAAATATTTATTAGCTTGATTGCCTGCTCAACTCAAAAAACAATGATTTAATTTTGCTGCCCTATTTACATTTGTATTTGTAACACAAAAGTTATGACAGTGATAGTAAATCATAGTCCTCCCACAACGATTTTTACAGGGTTTTTTTCATAGTACAGCTTTGAGGAATCTACAATAACTGTTGAAACAGTATTAGGCTGTGGACTGTTCTACTAGACTCCATCTGCCCCAGTAAACTCACTCTAAATCTTGGGTGTCTTGGTAACTGCACTGAAACCCTTTGGTCAAACATCCAGGAACACTACACTTCCACAATCATCTACTCTCTATGTATATTGTTAGAACAAAACTTTTTGTAGTAATACATAAATTGTTTTAAATGCTGTCAAGCTATTAGAAGTATTTCACTTGAAAAGGAATACTGGACTACAAAGCGGTGGGTGTCACTTTTCCAGAAGCATTATTAATGGGGACTCTTTTAGTCTTTGGTGATGGGGAATGACAGGCTGTAATGTTCCTTCAAGTTAAGAATAGAAAATAACTGTACTTGCAAGAATTCAATTACTCTGCATTAAAGCCACCATGGGGTTACTGTACATTTATACATCAGAAAGTCAGTAAATTATTTTTCTATAAATTAGTCTCTCGAAGTTGACTTTTTTTCTTTCTGTTCTGAATGCCAAACTCCTGACTGCTCCTCCACCACAGAGACTTCATATCTGGATAGCCAACATCTGTAAAAACATTTCTAATGAAAACACTACTAATACAACCCCCTGGAGAAACAAATGAAATGAGATCTAAGTATGCAGCCGCCTTTCTACGGTTCTGTCTTGAACAATAGCAGGGATAGTGCTTCCTATCCAAGACTTGACACAGGTCATGATCATTTAGGCACAGTAGTAGCAAAATAAATAATTGCATAAATATGTAATAACTGGTATAAATGCTTCAGTAGCACTTAGAAGATATGATAAAGGACTTCCGTCTTTAGTTGTGCATTAAGGTTTATCTCTGGATGGAACGGAGAAGCATTTGAACTGCAGTGAGGGAGAACTATGGATTGAATACTTGAAAGCTCAGTGCCAGACATAACATTGCTTCTTTTCTGCAACAGCAGTTTTGAAAACGTATTAGTGTTAAAAGTGTTGGATAACTGCTAAAATATTACAGAACCAGTGGTTATAGCTTCCCCCCAAAAAACAATATACTGGAAAGATAATAATGTAACTATTTAAATAATCTCAATACAAAGAAAAACAGTGCTGTCTTATTTTTAAAATAATTTGTCATTTTTTTTCATAATACATTCCACTGCTTAAGTAAATAAAAATTCAGAGGCAATTTTTCTGATAAACAGTCTAACAAGTTAACAGGGAAAAAAGGTCCATTTCTTTGTAACAGTTCTCAAAATCTCAGCTAATGCTCTGTATCAAGGTGTATAAACATTACATCCAGATTTGCTACCTGACTTTTAAACATGTACTAAATAATTTGAGGCAACTCTTCGGTAGTAAAAATCATAATACCAAGTCCCCTCCACTGCAAGAATAATTAACACAGAGACAGGAGTGCATCCTCTGGCTCAAGATTATCAGAAAAAAGAACAGTGTTTCTAAATGCCCTCATTTTCAGATGGGCTAGTGCTTTTCTTTTAAAAGACTATATTGGACAAATACAAGATATAATCAAAGTTTCCTTATCCAAACCCACTGCAAGTTCTGGGCCTGAATTGCAAGGCAGATGAAAGCTGGAATTTATTTGGCCATAGAACAGCTCCCAGCCCCTTCTCTCATTTACTAATTGTTATGGGCATTTGAGTTCACAGAAACATACTGGTAAGAGTAGTTATTTTGAAATAATTCCATCAACCAGTGAAATCTAGGTGCACTAAAATCAATACCAGGCATTTGCCAGAATGCCAAGAGGGCCTATCTGTTGCTCCTCTTGCCACCTCCTTTTCTAAGGTGTACAGAACCAGGACTGAACCCACAAATACAGGTTTTGTTTCCAGCAGTCTTTTTATGCTGGGTAAATTAAAATAAACTCTTTATCTCATGCATCTGTTTCAAATGACATTTCTTTTGTCATGAAGAGAGATGAAGATAAAAATTTTAAAAGATTTTTGATTAAAAAGTGGTATTTGGTCTTTCCACTGAATAGCTACAACATTTAAAAAGGGTTTTAAGGCAATAAAAAGGCAAATGGAACCCAACAAAAAATATTTTTAAAAAGATCATATTGAGCTCGTCTCTGCTATAGGTATCTACTACAAACAGATTTTTTCTACCGTACTTCAGACTGAGGCATATAGACAAACTGTGCTGGAAAAGAAAAAGAAATTGAAGCATTAAACTTGAAGTATCATTCATTTTCTCATTCTAATACACACAATGAACCCTAAGGGTAATAATTGTAACAAAATAAATGCTAAATAAGTTTTTTAATAATCACAAAATTCATGCTTCTCACTTATAAGTAGTGATCTTTCAAATGCCAAAATGGAACCAAACAGCTTAAATTATCAGGCTTATAAATGTTTTAAAATTAAGTGTTCTACCTTTTATTTTACTTAATACTTAAGATATACTAGAAAGACAACACCCAGGCAGTTTCTTTTTAAACCCCACAGCAATAGCCATGGAAGAGACTCAATTAGAAATTATAAAGTGAAATTAGATTTGAAAGTGAACTTGTCAGTTTTATGAATTCACACACTAAAGACCGTCATACTACCACAAATAGTAAACAAAACATTTCTGTTCAAATACATAGCCGAAAAATAAACACAAAATCCTTAATACTTAAAATTTCAATTTTATTTAATAAAGTAACACACCTGAAAAGTCATAGAATACCAGTTATAAAAAAATAATCACTAGTTATCAACGTTTAGTCAACACGATCCTCATGATCTTTAAGTCTAAGGCACCCTCCAGCGTTTGAAGAAGAAACTACACTTGTAGGAAGTGAGGAAGCATTTGAAAAGTGGCATGAGCAAGTCTTCCTGTCAAGACAGATGCTCCCTTATTTGTTTACAATAATTGCATACGACCATGGATCAGTGATATGACAACGCCATGATGCAAAAAACCCCTGTAAAATTACTTTTCATGTATTTGTATTGGATTTATGAAGGTGTCATTTGCTGTACTAGTGGAAAGGGATCTCTAAGCACACTCATTTGAACAATACAGTGAATGTGCAAAGTATTACAAAAACATTTCTTAAAGTCTGGTATTGATAAGTGATTAATTTCTCACAGAATATGATCTCTATGTTTATACAGCTTTCTTGAAACTTTTCTAAGGAGCCTAAACTAATAGTTTATTTAACAGGAGACAGGCTGATGGTAGAGAGGAGGCAAAACAATGCACCTAGAGGCAAAGTCAGATACAATATAAGAAAACCCCACATTCTATAATTAATACCATACAAACCAGGAAGGCCACATGTATACAGCTGTGGTCATGGAAGTCCACTGATTTTAAGTAAAAAAAAAGAATTTTTGTATTGGAAACTTTGCTTATCCTACAACATTTTCAGTACTTGAAATTGAAACAGAAACATTTGTGCCTACAGGACAGACAAAAATACCTATTGCAAGAACAGTGTTGTCAGTTAATGTTATGATTTTAAAATTACTGAAACAGAATGAAGGCTGGAAACCAAAACCTTTTCAATTGTGATTATGCACAAGCTAACATTTCTTGCATATTTCTCTTCTGGCATTTAAGTCCTGCAGACTATGCCCTGTTCATACTTCCACAATCAAATTGTATAGAAGGTTTTGTTTACGTGGTAATGAGATTACATTCTTTGAAATATATGTTAAGTAACTGCAAAGTGGTTAGGTCTCAATTAAGGAAAACATCTTTACTTAGAAAAGCTCTTGTTTTATGTATGTATTCAGAATTTGAAGTGTACAAATGCACTGAATTAGTGCTTAAAATATCATTCCTCATTAGGGATGGATTTAAGAATGCATGTAGATTTCTGCACTAAGTCTTTACCCTCCTGGGTTTACCCTTAAAGGCCGATGTGCAAAACTGTTAGGGCAACAAAGGGATTTTCATCATGTATAATAATTGATTCAATTTCAGTTTCATAAGGTTTGAGAGTTTTTCCACCCACACTCAAAACCTTGTCTCTTATTTACTACAAAACTTATTTTTCTTAACTACACTTGAAGAAGAAAAAAATTGATTAGCTTGTGATTTAGTAAAAAGTGACATTTGGTCAGTGCTGCACTTCAGCTCAGAATTAAGAGTTCTATCAGGGAAAACAGCTGATGTCACTTCTCCCTAGTATAGCTGAAGAGATCTTCTTAAAAACTGGCCAAAAAAAATCTTAGAATATTAAAAATAGTACAAATAAACCTATCCAGGGTGATGCAAAAAGAGGTAGAAAACATTTCAGAAGAACGTACACACGATAAATATATTTACACATATATATGCATGAGTATAAAAAAATAAAAAACAGCCATCACTCACATAAAACTTACAACTGTGCTTAACTTCACATGTTGCAAATATTTACATTGACTTCAAAAAGAGCTAATAATAGTGTGCAAAATTAAGCATGACCTTAAATATTTCACAGAGTTAAGTAGTTTATAAAAATCAGTCAGTTTAAATTTTGGCTCTTTTTAACAACTTTTTGTATGTTTTTATTTAGTGGTGTTCCTTTTCGCAATAGCTTCTCTGATTTGACGATCAAGTTCACTTACAATATGGTCTTCGTGGTTATATACTCCTGTTCTCAAAAGGGTATCCCTCTCTTCTATCAGACGAGAGAGATAATCATCCATGTTCTCATTTAATTTTCTAGAACGAAGACTATCCACTCTACCAGCAGAATTATCTCTAACATCTTGCAATTGCTTTCTCTCTTCTTCTTGTTGCTTTAGTCTGTTGATAAAACAGAGAGAATCAAGATGAACCATATTCAAAATCACTATGATTATTTTCATATTAAGTCTTTATCTACTGAAGTAGTTAGTAACATTAAAAAAGAATGTATAAAAGGTAACAAATTATCCTCTCTCTAGGGAAAAACAACTATAAATAAAAGAAATGTTAATATAATACTTAAATTCTAACAATACCTTCTCTACATGCATACATAACTATAATACTTGCTACCAGGGCTCCTATTTTGATGATGCAAACAGCACTCAAACTAAAAGGGTTCAACATGCAAAACTACTGCAGACAGTTTTTGGAGGACAACATTAGATAGATTTAAATTTTTAATGTACTCAAAATATGAGTAGTACATGCCTCTTTCTTTTCCTAATGCAACGGTTATGCTTAGACCTAAAGGTTTAAAATAGAAAAAAGCCTGGTACTGCACAACTATTACCACAACATAAAAAACAGGATACAGTGGCTTTAAAACAGGGATTTGCTATACTGGAGTATTGTTGCATTTTATAAATGTGCTATCTTTACCTAAGGGACAGTAAACTGTGTTCTTTCATGGACTGAGAGACAATTACAATCTTGATTTAACAGAACCTTCTCCTGTTTTAAGGCAGACTGCAAGAAAAGAAAGAGGGCAGGGAAGGAACCTTACAAATGCTTTTATACCTGTTAAGTTCATTTCGGATATCCTCCAGCTCTTGTCGCTCTGTTTTCCCCAGCTCTTTTTCTTCTGCTGCCAAATAACGCAACCTCATGTGCTCCAGCTCTTGTTGCTGCTTTTTAAGGTGAGCCATTGCATTTTCTTGTTCACGCTAAGGTGGGAAGGGGTGAAAACATAACTCAGTTGACTATATGATTACATGTAAAAGTGCTAATTATAGTGACATGAACAAAACTTCAGGAATGAAGTCATGACAGTTAAGACTCCAGCAGTATCAGAAATACAGGGGTTAAACAGAACGTCTTAGCTATTCATATCTATAATGCAGTAAGACCAGTGACTATCACAATTGCAGTAAACCTGTCCAGGCTGGATCAGCTGAAGCCCAGTCACAGATTAATAAGTGGCAAAAGTTTTACAAACCCTTTTACAAACTCTGGCTTAAGCTGGTAAACATGAACACCTCCCCACCCTCGACTTATACTTGTGCAACTGCTCAAGATACTGAGATTTATTCCTTTGCTACATGGTATTTTAAGTTGTAACTTTTGAGAAACAAAAACCAGAAAAATGCTAAATAGCTGCAGGAAACTTCCATCATCAGCCCTATAGAGCCTAACATCAAAGCTTCAAGAACTACTCTGAAATTGGCAATTTGTGATTAAAAAATAAGTCTTGAAGACAAAACTGTGGTAAGGTTTCCTTTCACATTTGTCTAACTCTACGCAAAACCTTAGGTAACTTATTCTGTGGATTTAATCCAATTAATCTACCCATTCTAAAAGTTTACTTGGTTCTATCTTTATTTTTTTTAAAAAGTTCTATACAGACACTGCAACAAAACTAGGGTTTCAGTCCACTGCTGCTTTGTGACATTAAAGTGTCTTAATGAGAAGTGTGGTCCTTTCTCCACTTGTTCTCGTCCCAGTCATTTTCCGTATGACCTTGTGCACTAACTCAATACAGTCAGTCTTACACTTAGAATGAGACAGAAGACCTGAGGTAAAATTGCATTTCTTCCTGTAGTTAAAAAATAAGGCAGGAGCTTACACAAACATCCTGGATCTAGACACTTTGTAAAGTGTAAGGTTACCTTTGTAATTTTGACATTGCTTTCATCTGAAATATTTGATTGGTAATACAATCAGTTTTATATTTATTATAAGGGTAAAAAAAAAAAAGACAATTCTTTGGTATGTGTGAGTATATTCGTTATACAGTCAACTTAATATTTAGAAGAGTTTAGTCAGGCAGTTTCCTGAATCTCAGTTCCCAGCATCTTAAGCACTCCCTGTTGATGATCAATAAGTGATAAGAAAATCTGAATTTCATAAGGAACTGGTTGATGTGAACAAACAATGCAATAGAGAAATACCTGACAAGAAATCATAGCATGTATGTGACCCAAAATACTTAATTTTTATACCAAAACCAATATACCAGCCAGACAAATTAGATGTTAGAGCTGCAGTGAGACAGGCCAAAAAGCCTGAAGAACAACTTGTTAAAGGTACATACGAATAATAAAACCAGAAGCAGGAATCCTGCAAAAGAGTCTACAGCTGATAGAGGACCAAAGTATAAAAAAAGCACTCAGGGAAGATAATGCCACAGTGCATCTTTCCCCATCAAGAGTTCACTGCAGAAGAACATTCCTATGTAAGCGGCACCCTTTTTTATGTGGGACAGGTTTGAAGAACTGTCTCAGACTGAAGTAGAATAGGTTTTAGAACAGGAATCTACAAATACATGTAGCAGATATTAAGCAGTCACTACAGCCAGCTAATATTTATCCAAGAGTTTCAATCTCTGGAAAAATTCAAACACAAAGTCATAAGACTAACTGGAGGTGTAATCAGTCACCAAAATTGGTGTTGACACCACAGGAATAACTATTTCCCTATTTTTTATCTTATTCTTTCTTTAAAAGAGAGGCCTTAGGAATATCCAGGAACTACCAGCAAGACTTACTTCACCGTGGCCAAATTGGTTGAAACCATAACTAAAGCCAAAACTAATAGGATGTGTGGGTACACCAGGAAGAATGAATCCAGTTTGTGTAAAAAAGTCACCTTTCCAACTGATATTAAAAAAACCAAACCCATAACAAAACACCACACCAAAGAAGCCACCTACAACCAAACACAAAACTAAGCTGTCAAAGAGAAAGTCAGCTCAGATTACTCAGGGTTTGGAAGACAAGAAAAAGGATAGCAGTTGATCATTTCCACAATAGCAAGAAGGTAGCAGTGGACTCCACAAGAATCTACTCATACATTCATAAATGAGGAAGTCATTCTGGAATAAACAGTTTGCTGTGATACAAAATTATTCAGTGGGGAAAAAGTGAATGTGAAAGAGTGGGATATTACGGGGACAAAATTATGAATTAATTTGAAAACTAAACAGATAAATTAAGAATACATCCACTGATGTCTGTTAAGCACATCATGAGCCAGCGGTTGCATTCAGGCTGTCATCTTTAAGTAACTAACTAAGGGCAGCTGGAGGATATTCCAAGTTATCAAAGCCAGGTTTCTAGATCTTGTGCATCTACTGATGGCCTCTGTATGGGCTAGATTGATACTTCACATCAGTTGGCCAGTTTGGTTTTTTCCACCCAATGAAAAGCACTGGCTGAAAGTCAAAACTAAGCAAATTGCAGCTAGAGACATGATTCAAGTTACCAAATCACTGGAAATTAATCACTTCAGCAATACACCAAACATGTTAGGAGCTTCTTAAATCACAGAATGTTTTCAATTTAGATAGACATTTGTATTTCAAAAAAATGCTACAGATCAAGCATTACTGTTGAAGTTATTTAACAAAGAAAAGACAGAGGATGCTTTTTTTTTTTATAAAGTTCCAGAGAGTATCACAATAGTATTCTCTGGTTTCCAAATATCTGGATAGGCAACAGCATCCAGACAGTAAAGCCAAATTTCAAGTATACAACGGGCTACAAGGAGGAATGAAATTATCTAAGCTATTTCGATAGTTGTACTTAAGAGTTGTTTGCTTTTCTAAAATGCAGGTAGAAGGCAAAATGCTGAGCATGTCTCAAGGAAGTTGTACTTAGGTTGGTATCAAAACAGTACAAGTAAATAAGTAAACAGCAAATCTGATTATCTCAGTTACCCCAAATCTAGAAGACTGAGGACATTCTAATATTTACTACTTCTGGAGGCCATCCCTGTTCTTGGTGCTCTCATATCTCCTAAATTAAATCCTTTTCAAAATGAAGCAAGTTAAAATCTTGCTGTGTTTCAGGGGAAAAAAAAAAGATATTAATACCTTAAGGCAAACATGAGACCTAAAGTTTTGAGTATGTTACATCCCCTTTGTAAAGTTCTATTTAATCTCAGGTGAGGAGTTGTTGCCCTCCTCGTACATGTAGAACAAGTCTAGAAATTTCTACTTGTCTGTCTCTACCGCTAAAGAATCCAGTAATTCAGTCTGGTGACTAGCTACTTTTCCTGATTAGACAACAAGTCTAAAGAAACTTGCTATACATATCCCTGTAGTAGATACAGTACAGCCTGCATATCCAAGTTCTGGTTTTGGAATTAAGTTGTTTAGTACAACCTGGTTTTCCTGTTGACATTAACAGTGGTAAGAGTTTTGCAGGCCACACAATAAGTTATGTAAGAATGCAATTTACAAGCAAACTGCCTCATCTGTAAGAAAAAAAACACTCATTACTGTGAAGGATGAAGCTGACATCCTCCTCTCCGACGATAACACAAATGTAAATCTTTTACAGAGGAGAGGACTTCGCCATTATCTCTTTTTCTAGCCTTTCTACCCATGCTGATTTTAATACATGATTAGGTTCAGTCCAATGCATTGCTGCAGATTATGAAGAAATGATTAATTTTAGAAAAAGTTTCCTTGCTCTGCAGTTCAGTTTATTCATGCTCTAATTGTCCCATTTTAAACTAGGACTACTGTCATGGGAAGCTGGGGTATTAATATAAGTCTGTCAAATTCGTGTATCTCAGTAATTCAGTGAGAGATTTTTTTGAAGGTATGCTGGACAAATATCAACAGAAAACTAAGTACTGGAAAACTAATGCAAAACAGAGTAGCACTTATTACTAACACAGCAAGAGTGTAACAGGCCAGGAGAAAGTTACACCCCTGCCTACTAAGGAATGAGATTATAATGAGACATATAATAAACACAAATCATCAAATAGCTGTGGCTACACTGAATAGAAGTCTTCTAATCCAGTCCTTCAGTTTGCGGAGTGTATTACTCAGATCCATACGGAAAGATTTTGGAAGTGTTCTTACAGTTGCCGCTTCAGAAGACAGACATAACTGTGTGCTGGCACCTGGGAGTAGGAGTTTCACAAGTTGATACGGTAAGTGTTTTTGGCAGGAAAGTTCAATGATCCAGAGGTTTCTGCTTTTTAGCAACATGCTTACAATGGAAAACAGATAGCAAAAAGGCATTTTAAACTCAAAGAAAAAGTATACATTAGAAGTAGTACATATATTGAAGGTTAATAGAACAAAGTCCAAAGCTCAATCAGGCCAGGAAGAAGACCAAATATTCCTAATGCTTTCCTTCTGATCACAACTGATCTCATTTAATACCTTGGTCCTTTATGCCCTCACTGAACTAGTTAGTTTCAGAACCATAAGGTTTTTTGATTAAGAAACAGCTTTAGTGATGTTTAATAAAACCAACAAAAGTACAGAAGAGGGAATGATGCAAAAGCCAAGGTGAGATGTAGGAAAAGAAAGGCTTTCCTGGAGAATCCTTTGTTCAGTTCCTGTTCCTTTTCATGTTTTTCTCTGGGAAAAGTGTCTGTTAAAAAAAATGGAAACAATCCATTTCACTGGTGAGCATGCTCGTTGCTCACGATAATATCCCTAAATCCGCAAGGAAGTAAGTTTGAATACAAAGAGTGCTAAATTCTCCTTTTCTCCACAAAGGAGAAAAACTCTTATCAGTACATTTTGTCTCCAAGTTAATGTTGGGTAGGACTTCCTTACAGATACAGTTGATTAGAAATTTAATTTGACTATTAATACAATTGTGATGTAAACATGACAAATATTTGGCATTTCCTTGTTTGGGAGGGGTGAGGGAAAAGATGAGATGGATTTTAGTCCTGTAACAGTTAAAGTGAAGAATTT